TTCCTACCGCTGTAGGCGAGCGTGCGTACGTTGAACGTGCCAAACGATAGGTCGCCCTCCCGTGCCTTCTTCTTCGCAGCCTTATTGACGGCCGCTGCGGTCTCGTGTCTCTCTCGGTCCGCCTCGCGTTGCGGGTGTGCTTTCTTCCGTATTTTCCGAGCGGTAAGTTTCCTCGCATCAATCCATCTCTGCAGAGCTCGGTTGCTTGCCTGTGGTGTTTTGACGAGGAGGGTACAACACTCCCTCCCCGCGGTGCCCGCGGTTGTCTCCCTTCCCCCGCGAGCGGTGCTTACTCGCGTGGTGTTTACGAACCTCTCTACTCCTCCAGCTTCGTGGGCCACGCTTTCCGCGACGGTGGTTGCNAAGTTTCCTCGCATCAATCCATCTCTGCAGAGCTCGGTTGCTTGCCTGTGGTGTTTTGACGAGGAGGGTACAACACTCCCTCCCCGCGGTGCCCGCGGTTGTCTCCCTTCCCCCGCGAGCGGTGCTTACTCGCGTGGTGTTTACGAACCTCTCTACTCCTCCAGCTTCGTGGGCCACGCTTTCCGCGACGGTGGTTGCCAGGTGCAGTTTGCCGCTTTACATTACTGCCGCGGGAACAGTGTCCATACACACCTCTCGCCACTACCACCGTCTGTGCATCCTCACCGCCACGCTGAGCCAGCGCGGCGGTGATTTGCACCTTGGGACACCACCCGCCTACTATCTGTTGTGGCCTGGTTCGCCCGCGAGGGACTCGGTGTGTTGCCGTCTGATTGCAAGTGGTGCGCGTAGCATATACATGCGTACGTATTATAACAGTTGGGCGTTCTTGACGTGTTTCGTTGTTCGTGGAGAAGTACATGGTGTTCACAAGTGAAAGGGGTGTTGGTGGTAGTACACATATTGTAGCGCGAAACCGCAACATTCGTCCGTCTGGTGTTGAAACAATTGGTGTCAAACATGCACCACACGCCTCCAAACAAACAGCGCTCCATGTGTGATACGTACTTCGTCGTATTAAACGCTCCTTTTCGCTGCTATATACTCTACGATGATGACACCTGTCGAAACGAAACGCCCACGCTCCCAACTGTCAGGCGTGGTGGGGAAGGTGACCGAGGGGGCGATAGAAGTGATCAGCGAGGACGCGGACGATGCCGGCTCTCTACGGGCCCCGCTAAGGCTGGATGTCGTAGTCAGCGAGGCCACGCACAAGAAGCTCATGTTGGTGAGTCAGTTCTGGCTTCCGCATGGGACTGGCACACGGGGCTTTGAGGGGGGAGGGGGGGCGGGGGGGCGGGCGGCGTACCCCCTTGTTGCGGCTGGGGTTAGGGTATGAAGCTTTTCATTATGTCGCCAACCGGTTACCGTACGGGTGGGG